TGCATTTAAGGCCGGCTGGTATCGGTACTGGCAGGGCATCAGGTCAGGAGTTAGCCTGACCCGACTACCAGGATAGATATAATGGGTCCCCCATCAGAAGCTGATTCAGAGGAGGTTTACCCTGACTATATGTCTATGTATCTTGAACCCTTAGGAATGTCTCCTGGGTCTGCAGTACTGTCACTTGAGTCAAGTCAACCCAACAGTGCAACTAGCACACGATCCTTAAATCCTGATGCTCTTCCATTATTTCCTGGGGGAGATACTGCTGAAGAGGGCGTAGATATGTCCCATAATCCTCTGGGGTCTTCCAGTGAGGGGGAAAAGGTTACTACAGATGTTGATCCTTCTGTAATGGGTACTTCTGCAGTGGATGCCGAATCTGAAGGGGTTGTATTGACACCTCCTGTAGAGGAGGAAGAAGGGGTAGTACCGACCTTAAGGCGGTCCCAGAGAGAAGTCAGGCCTCCTCAGAGGTTGACCTATGATATGGTTGGAGTCAGCAGTGAGGTGTCCATTCCCACAGTACACCGTGGAGTGGTTGTGTTAAAGGATGTTAAAGCACCTGAGACATCCAATCCAGATGATGTATCCTCTAAGCATGAACTCAGGTGTTCAACATGGTGGTGCTCACCTCATGCTGTATGCCTAAATTGTACCTATTCTAATGGGCCTATACTTTACCCTCCATTGGCTATTAATACAACCAACAGTAGGCAATAGTATTGTATTGTAATTGTATTTCTTCTTGATACTGGTTCCTTAATGGGGACATTAAGGATTTTTCTGGTGGGGGGAGAATGTAGTCCCCTTACTAAAGGGGGTGGATAGGGCTTTCCCCAACTAAACACCATCACCACTGGGGTGCTCAGGATCTCTTTGGGGTTAAAACATCAGGCGCCCAGGCACACCTGTGAGTGTGACCTAGTCCCCAGTAACCCGGGGAGGAAAAAGGGGGTTACACTATAGATTACATTCATGCTTGAGCTTACGTTTAACTAGCTTTTATTTTTAACCAAACTGGAAGTTAGCATCTAATTTCAGAAACTTACCTTTATAAGCCACCTCCCAATGACCTCCTAAGGAATGATTTTGGTTAGTTATGACATACTGATATCCAACCCAGAACCTACAGTTAAAGAAAGACATACATTTTTAAAAACTGATAGATTACATTCATGCTTGAGCTTACGTTTAACTAGCTTTTATTTTTAACCAAACTGGAAGTTAGCATCTAATTTCAGAAACTTACCTTTATAAGCCACCTCCCAATGACCTCCTAAGGAATGATTTTGGTTAGTTATGACATACTGATATCCAACCCAGAACCTACAGTTAAAGAAAGACATACATTTTTAAAAACTGCAGAAA